CCCGAGCCCACGCGCTGGGCTCCTCCGCCGGAGTTGCTGAACGAGCGCCTGCTGTGCACCGAGTCCACGCGGGGCAGGTTCCGTAAGGGAAGGGTCTGCCCTCGGACAGCTCCGAGGGAGCAGGCCATGGCCCGTTCCACAGGCGAGGCTCAGAAAGGCCCAGCTCGCCCGGAGACACAGACGGCAAGACAGGAGCCGGCAGCCGGCCGGGCCTCTGGTACCACGCCGCCTCCTTGTCCGCCCCACCGGGGCGCGATGTGCTCAGAACATACAGAGCGAGTGACTGTGGGACACGAAAGCACACAGGCTCTCGCTGAGCCAGCAGGGTCTTCCCAGGGCTGCGCACAGGTGAGGACACCAGCCTCCCCGCTGAGTCACAGCGAGGATGTTTCAGAGCTGGGACAGGAGCCAGGCCAGGAGCGCCCGTCCCTGGTGCCTCTCCTGCCTAGACGACAGGTCCCTCGAGCAACACGAGCCTGTGCGGGCCTCGAGCTGTCCTGGTCCAGCCCGGGCTGCCAGGCTTCCTGCGCCCCCAACCCTGCCCAGCTCACAGCTCGGGGGCCCACTCTGCTGACCCTCAGCAGTCTTCTGCTTCCCAATTCTTGAGGGTCTTGGCCTGAACTAAGACCCAGAGTGTCTTTCTTGTCCCCATGCTGTCACCGACCTTCTGATCTCAGCCTAAGCTTCGGCTCCTTCATCAATTGGGTACAAAATCTGAATGCAATCATGGGTGAACCTCTTTTGTCACCCAAATCAGGTCATGTGGGTCCCCTCCCTGCTCACAACCCCCAGGTGCTGTGGATCTGGCCAGAGCCTTCAGGCTGCCCCAGCATCGTCTCATCTCTTTCCCACATTCTGTCACTGCCCTCCTTGCTTTTTTGCAGAATCCCCCAAAGCCTGTTTCCACCCCAGGGCCTTTGCACCTGCTGTCTGAAGTAGTAACTGAAGGCCTCTTCTCTCAGGGCCCAATCCTTCTCCTCCTTGAGTCCATGTTCCATGTCACCTCTTCAGAGAAGCCCTCTCGCACCTGCCCAGCTCTCACACCTGCTGCTCGTCCCTGTTGCCCTTTCCTTGGAATCACCGCATCTGTCTGTGAATTTGCTTGCCCACAACCATGTCCTCCAGCAGAACGAGGGCAGAGACCTTGTTGGCTGCCATCTTCCCTGGGTCTGGTATACAGCAGGTGCTCATGCTGTGGCTGTGGGATGAAGAGTGCGGCCCCACCCCAGCTGCCACCCAAAGCTCCTGCAATACAGCGCCCCTCAGAGCCCCAGAGCCTGTCTGGTTCCCAGCCTCATAAAAACCACTGCCCGCAGCTTGCCCTGAGGCAGCAGCGGGTGCTAGGCACAGGGTGGGAACAGGGCCCGCACTGACCCCAGTGTGGTTCAGATGCCAGCAGGGAGTCAGTGGGGAAATTGAGGCACAGTGCAGTGGCCACCGGCCCAGGCTCTGCAGCCCGAGGAGCGAGGAATCGGGATTGTGACGAGACACCCAGGTGGTGCCAGAAGCTGTGAGCACAGGTGTGGAGCCCAGCGCTGTCCAGAGCTGGCCCATTCCTTGGGCGGGTGGCGGAGCCTCTGTGCCTCAGTTTCCCCCACCAAGACAGACGCCACTTGTGGTGAGAGGGGAACCACCTGGGGCCCATCCCTGCTTTGGCTTCCTCTGCCTGTCGCTCGCTGTGCACCCTCTGGAGTTCGGACCTCTGGGCCTCAATTTCCCCTCTGTCGCCCCAGTGACCCGCCCCAGCTGAGCGCACAGTGAGCCCCAGGGGCTGTGCGAAGGCGCAGAGGGCAGCCCATCACCCAGGTGGTGGGGCAGAGGCCCCAGGTCCTGGTGTCCTGGCAGGCTGAGGACACGCCGGGGCGGGCGGCAGAGGGCGGGGACAGAGCTGCGGGAGGCCAGGGTGACTCACCCGCTGGTCAGGCTGGGGGCCGGGCTGAGCCCCCTCGCGCCCCTCTGGGCCCGGCCTTGTGCCCAAAAGTGCTGTGTCATGCTCTGTCATGTGGCTCCGGGTCATTAATACGGGAGTTCTGGGAAGCGCAGGCCAAGTTCCCGGAAGGGGTCAGCCAGTTCAGTAAACAGATTGGCTGGTTCGCCGTCACAGCTGAGCCGGGCGGGCGGGCTGGCCGCTCGGGGGGGGCAGGAGGGGGGCCAGCATCCATGGGGACAAAGGAGCTGCCCCTCGGCCCATTTGGGGCTGGCATCTCTCAGGGCAGAGTGGCCCAGGCTTGGCGGACAGAAAGGGAAACCAAGGCTCAGAGAGAGCAAGGTGCTTGCCAGAGGTCACACAGCAGTTCCACGGTTCTAATCTCCAATTCTGGTCTCCTCGTCAAGTGCTCTGCCAGATGGGCAGGAAACCTTGAATCATTCCCATCCCACCCCCGGTCCTGATTTAGACCCCGAGGCCAGTTTTCTCTGACTGGAAGACAGTTTGGGAGGAGGCAGGATTGGAAGGGTACTGTCCGTCCCCAAGGGTGGGTTTCTCGAGCGCCTGCTATGCGCAGGGCCTGCCTTAAGTGCTGTTTGTGAATCCACACATTTGACGTGTAGCCACCGTCACACAAACAGTCTTGGCCATTGCTTTTACGGCACCTACTAAGTGCCAGGCACTGAGCCAGATGAGCTGTGTGCCCACCTGTGAGCCTCTCTCAGACCCTGTCAGGTGGGCAGGTTATCACCGTCAGCAGAGGAGCAATCAGGAGCCAGGAAGGAGACAGCCGGAGCAGGGAACACAAATCTGACTTTGCCTCTCTGAGCCTCAGTTTCCCCATTAATAAATGGGGATTCTGATGAATCACAGGCAGCCATCGTAGGTGGGTGCATGGCCATTATTACACAACAGAGATTCAAGTGTGGGCTGTGAGTTCGAGTCCCCCTGTGTGGCCTCAGACATGGTGCTTAACCTCTCTGTGCTCTGTACCACAGGAAACACATTAGCCCCTCCTCATGCAGTGGGCAGGGCCCGGTGATTGTTCCTGGGTCTCACCCAGGACGGAGCCACAGGGACAACCAGCACCACCTCCTGTCTTGCTCACAAATTCTGGCAGCTGTGAGGTGGAAAACCCACACCAGGGGGATTTGGGAAGAAATGGTTTTGTATTTTTTTGTCTCTAAATACTTAACAAAACCTACTAAGTTAAAATTAATACATCTTCAACGCACTCACTCCATCCGCACAGTCCGGCATGGCATTGCTCAGTATTTATGAAAACTTTTGTGTTGGTGGAAAACAATCTGCAGGCGAGAAGTTTCTTGTTGGGCAAACGTTCCCTGGTGTACACCGGCCTTGACAAGAACCCCAAGTCGGTAGCAAAACAAATAAGCCGCACGCCACCAGACAATCTCGGAAGTGAGATTATCGATATTATTCAGGGCTTTTGTGATTGTTCCAGCCGGTCCGATGCCTTCCTCAGCCTCTCAGCCCCTCCCCTGAGCACTCTGTCCCAGCCCCTCGCTTGTCCCTCAGTCCGATGCCCCTCAGCCTCTCAGCCCCTCCCCTGAGCACTCTGTCCCAGCCCCTCGCTTGTCCCTCCCAGGACGCAGCGCTGCCAGCCCTTCGCGCGGAGCACACCGTCCGCCCCTGCCCCAGTCCCTTCCCCTGCATCAGGACCGGCCTGGGGCTGCTCTGGAACAAAGAGGCCTCCGCACAGCTGACCTTTGCGTTTGTGCCTTCGCCCCAACACTGGAAAATCACTAGGTTTCACACCAGTGGGAGACACTCAGGACGGGAGACTGAGGTAGGAAGAGGACCGCAGGTTTGAGTCCAGCCTGGACAACCTGGAGACCCAGTATGACCCCACCTCAGAATCAAAATTTGAAGAATGAAAAAAAAAGGCTGGGGATGTAGCTCAGTTCGAAGGCACTGGGTTCAAGCCCCAGTACCCCAAAGCCAAAGTCAGCTCCGGATAACAATCCAGATTTACAGCCTACCCTGGGGAGCTGGCCCTCTGGCCCCACACAGGGGACTCTGGAGATGGCCGGCGCGTCCACGCTGCCACCCCCCGAGCGCAAGCCTGCCCCAAGCCTCAGAAAGTCTTCCTCAGACAGCATCTTCGTCGAATCTCCTCACCCAGCGCTGTGAGGTCCCAGAGAGGCACGGCTTGTAGACGCTGAGACGGGGCTGTCCCCCAGCACCCTCCAGGGCCTCCCGCCCCCTGCCCAGCACATCCTGCCCACCCCTCCTCCTGAGGTCCAAAGCCCAGTGCTGCTCCCACCTGCCTGCCACCTGGCCTCCCTGCTGCCGTCCCTGCCCCACCCAGGCAGCCACAGCCCCTGCAGTCGCCTGGCAGCCCAAGGGCTCCAGTGAGACCCGGGCTCCCAGGAGGGGAAGACTCTGCCTTTGGCACTGTGTGCAGACAGGTTTTGGTTGTCACCGCCGGGCAGGGGTGAGGGTGCCGCTGGCATCTAGAAGATGGAGGCCAGCGGCCCACACTGCCGGGACAGCCCACAGCAGAGAGCCCTGGGGTCCAAAGTCACCAGTGCCCAGGCTGAGAGCCTGTGGTGGACGCTGTCCACCCCCGTGCCCCTGTGCTTGCACTGGCAGAGGACCTCCTGCCCGCGGGAAGTCCACATTCCTCCTCTGCAGCCCCCGGCTTGGCTGCGGTGACCCAGCTGGCTTGTCGGACCTCATCTGCCCCAACTGTCTCCCTGGCTCCCTCAGCCAAACAGATCCTCTCCTTAGCTGTCCACAGCCACCTCAGGGCCTCCC